GATCTTACGAGTCCCGACTTCTTTCTATTCAGGATCGGCATCCAAGGACAGGAAGAATCGGCATCCAACATCCAATCGATCTCTCGATCGTCCATCCCACTTGTAAGTTGCACTCATCTCCATCTGTTCAGTTTTTAGTGCCAACAATTCTAAAATAAATTTAATTTTTTTTTAAAAAAGCCTCTCGCAAGCGCGAAGAGGCTAGTAAATAATAAAAGTTAAACTTAAGTGCTTAAGAGCGTTTATTTATGTATTTATTTTTTTAGCATTGCTTTCCTCTTCTTTCCATGGAAGGAGGTATTCATACTTCATGCAAATCACAATTTGACACATATATAAAATATCCCAAAAATAATTCATAAAAACCACAGAAAGAGAAATCTCTACACATATATCAAACTGTAAGAGCACTTCCACCCGTTGTGCCATGGCAAAGGGTATGGGCAAGTAAGGGCAGACACCATTCATGTGAATAGTGACTGCCTTAATTTTTTTGATGCATTCCCACCCAATGCCATGGCAACCAATATTCACATGGGATATGAGAAGAGGAATTTGTATGGATTTTGGTGTGGGAAGTGAAGAACATGGCTAGGTATTCATAGAAAAAAAATTCAGAATTTTTTGGTATTTTTTTCAACTTTTTTAGTATTTTAATTGGTCGTTAACATCACACTTATGTTAGAATGACGTCAACTTGCTCAGGCAGTAGACCATGCAAATCTTGCCTTCAGGCTTGCCTAGTTTCATGGCCCGCTTCTTTCCATGGCAATTTTCCTTGGGTGGAGGTTGTTTTTGGAGCCTAGGCCATGGCAAAAGGGGATAGGGTAAAAGTGCTCTAATTGGCAGGAAAGTAGGAATTTTTACTTCTAAGAAAGGAGGCAAGTATTTTCAGCTCAGTTTTTGTGGTGGGTGCGTTATCTGATTATAAAAATATCCTATAATTTATAAATAATAATAAAAAAAGGAAAAAGAAAAAAGAAAATGGTTGGTACGTTTTATTTCTTTTTCATTGAGTAAGTAGGTGTGGAGTGGACTGCGGAGCGAGAAACATTAGAAAAAGGAGAAGATTCAGAAGACGGAAGTGACAGAGGAAGATGGAGGAATCGAAGGGAGTGGTGAAGCATGTATTGTTAACAAAGTTCAAAGAAGGAACCTCAGAGAATCAGATTGAGGAACTCACCAAAGGCTATGCAAAACTCGTCGATCTCATTGAACCCATGAAGTCCTTCCACTGGTACCCACTACCCAACCCTTTCCCTCTCCCATTTTTCTTCACACTAATCTCTGTTTTATATTGAGTTCAATTCTCAGATCTTCTTGGTAATTCATATTTCAAATTCTTAGATTGAATTTAAAGACTTGATGCATTTTGGTACCTGTCTTTAACCGCAATTTGTTAACCTGGGAAGTTATGTTCTAGCCAAATACACATATCTTGTGGTGTATTAATTTGTGTCCAGTATCCATCTTTCATTTTAAAACATAGTTTTTAGCTTATATTTTTTGTGTCACTTTGCGTTTCCTGAATCAGTGTGGGAGTCAGATGGGTCCTCAAAAGGCTAGATTTTTGGAAAACTTAGCACCCAATTTTCAAAAATAGCAACTTTTGTTGAAAATTTGATGCTTGAAAGGGGTTCAAGCATCAAATATTGGTTAAAGCTGCAGTTTTTGTCTTCAAAAAAAGGGTTATTTGTATTAGATTGGTAAATTTTTGTTATTTTTCGTGGAACTCAAAATGCTAGACCATCTTCTTATCACTCAGGTTCACTATTTTCATATTTGGCATATCACTCTGTGGTTCCTTGTATCGTCCCAAGAACATTTAGGATTATGACCCAAGACCGGAGCATCTAACTGAAATGCCAATCTTTTAACCTGAACAATTTCGTTAGCATTTCATAGATTATTAGACACGACTTTGTAGTTTTTGTTCATGTGTGGCCATGGAATTTTCCCAGACAGTGCCCCTGCACTTAAAGCTATCACCAAGATTTCTCAACAGTTAGATAAGTTGCAGTTAATTTTTGTTACTCAAGCAGTAGAATATGTGGTCTGCATAACTTCTTAATTATTCATTAATGTTTTGTAATCAGGGGAAAGGACGTGAGCATCGAGAACCTGCATCAAGGTTTCACTCATATCTTCGAGTCTACCTTTGAGAGTATGGAGGGTGTGGCGGAGTATGTAGCTCATCCTGCCCACGTTGATTTTGCAAATTTGTTCCTTTCCCATGTGGAGAAAGTCATCGTGTTCGATTACAAACCAACTACGGTTCGTATCTAAATTGGAAGGCCTATCAAAGGTGTCATATATCATGCTATTTCTCTGAACGGAACTTAATTTTCTATGTAAGAGTTTGATTTGGCTCTGTTCTATCCGATTTACGAACCCTATGTAAAATTCAATAATGAAAGAGATGAGCTAATGTTGTTCCAAGTCATTGCTTGCGTCTCAAATTTTCATTTCATTGCATTTGATTGTTTGAACTCTGTATTGAGGTTGATGCCAATTTATATTTTGTTGCTAAAATCTCCAATCTATAGAAACTGTCAAGCACGAGCTGCATATGGTTATTTCTTAAAGCAACCAAATTTGACATCCAGGACCTCAAAAGGGTACATAAAAGCATCAGTATGGTTGAAGCAGCATACGAGAGATAACTAAAACCATACTAGAATAGTCTGGGTTGTGGTTAAGGCTTAAAGGTGCCACCCATAGTTGGGGCCCATCCAGGACCACCTCATGGTTCAGACAAAAAAAAAACCATACTAGAAAGATCTAACAAATCCGGAGTATCTTGCCAGAGTGTTGATGGTTCAGCTGGTGGCTGCCTGAAGTTCTCTGCACACCCATTGAATTCTCCCAAGGCACCAGATGCTGCATCTCTTACACCACTATAGTCACCAAGCCCTACACTTTGCCTGGCTTGCTGGAAATCAGCAATGGCATCATTGTAATTGCTGGAACAAGATGTGTACCTTGCCCTCAACTGAGGATTGTCCGTACGTTTTTGCCACTGGACTAGGTGGTCTCTAGTGACTGTGGCATTAGAATTTGCCAAATCTACAGTGACATAGACAAGGCTGTGAAGAAGTGACTTCGTCACGCGGGGATCCGAACTCAGGACGTGTGAACAAAAAGAAGCGTTCAAGGTTTCAGAGCAAATAGAGTTTAGATCAAAGGCATGGGAGGGAGCCATAGCCAAGAAGGACATTAGCGCAATGCAAGCTATGGAGATTGAGGTTATGCTAAAGAAAGAAGAACCCATTTTTGTCAATTTCTTTGAAGCTTTTTTTCTTTGTTCTACAGAAGTGTTACAAGTGAGGTCAACGTTTGTCAAAGTCTTTCCAAGGTTAGTAATTAGTCATTGAATGCCTTGGTTAATATTCGGTGAAGAAACAGTGTATTCATGCATTTTACACCTGAATTGGGAATGGATGTATCTCGTGCAACTTCACCACCTAAGAATGTCGTGTGGTCTAATGGTGCTAAGTTTGTTGTACCTAAACAGGATTAGGCCACATTACACCATTAATAAACCAGGTCGAATTTTGGCAAAGGAAGATGAAGTTTGGTCGGTGTGCATTTTACCCATTTCTTTTACTCTTATGTCTTCTAAGTCATGTAGTTATGAAGTAGTAGCATTTCCACACCCAAAATTTTATTTCATAAACAAACTCTCGATTGTTTTTAAAGTCAATAGCTTGGTTTGACCCAAAAAACAAAGGTCAATAGCTTGGCCCAACAGACACAAAGCTATAGCACACGGGTTGGTATGAATTAATTTAGATCCAAATCAGTGATACGAGCGATATTGAAGTAATGAAGATTCAAAAATATGACCTCTGCAAGCCCATTATTCAATAATTAAAGAGTGCTGCTATTTCCACCCACCTGTCCTATTTTTCCACCCACTTTATTTTCAAAATTTTAAAGATAAATTTATCCCTTTGTAAAATAACGTCTAAGGACCTAAGAAAAAAACTCTTTTAAAGCATTTCAAATAAAACAATAAACTAAAATAAAAATAAAACAACATTTTTTCATTTTGTTGGATTTGGTGGTAGCAGTTAAATGAATCTATGTTCCTCGTTTCCTTTGTTTTTTTTAATCGATTCTTTCGTGTGGTCTCTTTTTTGGTTGGTTGTGGTTGCTATTTAAAAAAAAAAAAATCAATTGTTGTGGATGCCTTATCCACCCTTTTAATACAATCGTTTCTCTTTTAAAGAAACTCACTTGGTGTATGAGATTAAAGCCTCTCCCTCTGCTTCTTTACTATTTTTTCTTTATAGAATTTTGTTTCTATTTTTTTTTTCTCTTTTGAATTCGTGGTGAATTAGTTTTTTCTTATTTGGGTTATTTGTCTCTGACAGATTGATATAAGACTAGAGGTGAATGCACAGGATTTTTGTGTAGAGGTGAATTTGCATTTTTTTGGTATTAATAGAGGCTTCGTCTGGCAGCTCCCGGCCCTCAACCCAAATTTCGTGCTGAGGTTGAAGAAGCTCTGCACAAATAACAAAGTTTTTTTTTTTGGGGAGGATTTTGCTCAAGTAATGGTGGAGGAGGGTGAAGAGGTGGGGGAGGGGCTGGTGGCTAGTGTGTTGCTGAGGGGGTGGGGCTGCGTCGGGAAGGGGGGAGAGAGGGTTTTTGTTTTTGTATTTTTATTTTTTTAAAATGTTATTTTATTATTAGTTTACTTTAGTAATTTAAGTGTGATTTAGGAATAATGGTGGGTGGAAAGATAAGATTTTGTTTTTTTTAATTTATATGGTAAGTGGGAAAATAAAGTGGGTGGGGAAATAGGACAGGAGGTGGAAATAGTAGCACTCATAACAAAGTCTTGAACAAAATGTTCGGGAATATATACCAGCAATAAAAAGATTTAATTATGTAAAAGGGTTTGTAGCTTAACTGATTATGAGCATTTAATCACGTATCTGAGGTCCTACATTCGATTCCCTCTTCTTCTAATATCGCTTGTATAAAATAAAAAAAATTATCATGTAAAAGTTAGTACTAATGTTACCTTGGCCTTGTTGCAATATATACAGCAATAGAAGGTGAATTGTTCCATACATTAGAATGCAGCCTTAAGATCCCTCTCTGCAACTAATAATTGAATTGAGTGACCAAACTGTAAATACGGGTATAGTTGAGGGACCATTGCTGCGAATAACCCAAAAAACAATTAAAAAAGAGTATAGCCGAACGACTGTACATTTCTTTTTTCTAAAAATGTATTAGAACCGAGTATAGCCGACCGGCAATACTAATTTTTTTTAAAATAAAAAACCGTGTATAGCCGGGCGGCTATACTATTTTTATATATGTATATATAAAAGGACCCGCCCAGCAATTAGGCGTCACGTGTCAAAAAAGGTCAAGCCTCCCGACTATACAATTTTTTCAAAAAACGAGTATAGCCGATCGGCTATACCATTAAAAAAATAATAATAAAAACCGAGTATACCCAACCGGCTATACTATTTTTGGAAAAAAAAATTAGGGTTATTCGCAGCAATGGTCCCTCAACTATACCCTAAGTTACACTTTGGTCACTCAACTCAAATATTAGTTGCAGAGGTCACTCAATTAGGTGTTTTGTTGCACTGTTAGTCCTACCGTCAAGTCTGTTACTTTTTCTGTTTAAAATGATGACATGACAAGCATCTCTTAGATTATTGATGGGCAAATGTGACTTTTCAGTTAAGATTATTTGTAGCAATGATCCCTCAACTATACTTACATTTATGTCATCATTTTAAACAGAAAAAGTAACAGACTTGACGGTAGGACTAACAGTGCAACAAAACACCTAATTGAGTGACCTCTGCAACTAATATTTGAGTTGAGTGACCAAAGTGTAACTTGAGGTATAGTTGAGGGACCATTGCTGCGAATAATCCAAAAAATTAAATAAAAGATTATAGCCGCACGGCTATACATTTCTTTTTAATTTTTTAAATTAAAACCGATTATAGGCAAGCGGCTATACTATTTTTTAAAAATAAAATAAAAAAGCGACTACAGCCAGCTGGCTGAACTAGATGAAGAATAGTTGTTGGACTTGGTTAATAATTAGGCTTATTATCACAAAACATCCTTGACGTTTGCGAAATTATCACATTGCATCCCTAACATTTTTTTGTATCATTAATGATCCCTAATGTTAATACAGGTACTCTTAAATAGTCCCTCTGTCAAAAAAACCGTTAAATCCAAGGGTATAATCGTCAAATCAATCCAAAACTATATTTTTTTTTCCTTCTCTTCTCTTTCTTTTCTTTTCTTCTTCTTTCTTCTTTCTTCTTTCTCTCCGCCTGGCCCCGCTCACTCTTCTTCTTTCTTTCTTTTATAGAAAGAGGCTTATTGTGAATTTGTGATGCAGAAGACCACAACTGGCTCTGTTCTTGTTATTGTTATTTTTAAAAAAATAGTATAGCTGCTCGGCGATACATGTTTTCACACGTGGAGTTTAATAGTATAGTAGGAATATGCCAAAAGACCCCTCGGTGGTATGGCCCACCAAACACAAAACTACAGCACACAGGTTGGTATGAAAGATTCAAAAAATATGACCTCTGCAAACCCATTATTCAATAATTAAATTATTAGATTAGTGGGTATATTATACAAGCAGACCCAAATTTTTTTTTTTTTTTGGGAGGAGACAAAATAGTTATATTATACCAGGACTGTGAGTTTTTAAAAAGGAGAAGGCAGATCACAGTTCACAGACACAGAGATGGAAGAGGAAGCAAAGGGAGGTGTAAGAATATATTGCTAGCAAAATTCAAAGAAGGAACCTCAGAGAACCAGATTGACCAACTGATCCAAGGCCCTGCCAACCTAGTCAATCTCATTGACCCCATGAAGACCTTCCACTGGTAAAACAGAGTCCTCTGTTTTCCTTTTTTCTTTTATTTTCTTCTCTCAGCTGATTTTTTCTTAATTTTTTTGGGCCACTTTGGCTTTCCTGGTTCTGAAAATGATACATATTTGTGGTCAATTTGCTTAATTAACTAGTTAATTATGTATTAATTGATGTTTTGTGATTAATCAGGGGAAATGAATTGAGCATTGAGAAGCAGCTGGAAGGGTACACTCATGTGTTTGAAACAACCTTTGAGAGTGTGGAGGGTGTTGCAGAGTACACAGCTCACCCTGCCCATCTTGATTTTGCAAACTTGTTCCTTCCCAATTTAGAGCAATTATCTTTTAGCTCAACTGCAGACCAGCAAGTCATCACCAAGAAAAACCCTAGTGAAATACAAGTTATGATGATGGAGCTGCTACCAGATCCAAAAGATCAATCATAGTAAACCATTTTGTCAATTTCTTTTCTTTAATTTGGGGTTCTATTTTCTTGGTAATTAAAAGCGTTAACTGATTGTAATGTTGTTAATTTTATGCAATGAAGCTCCCACCTTTCTCTGGGCTTTGTTTGTCTCTGTATATCTTTGGGCTTTGTCCTAGTTTCTTTTATGAAGATCTGCTCATAGAAAACAGAGAAGAAAAAAAAAACATGATAAGTTTTTTTTTTGTTTAAACGAAATGGAGATTGCATTAATAAATTACGTCACGAGGGTAATACAAATACAAAAGCCCCACATAGCCATTGCAACTACTCACAAAGGGGTTAAAAAGAATTATTGCTTACCAATTGATAGAGATCTGATTGGTTTAACAACATGGGCAATTATTTATCCAAATGTAGGTTATATTAATAAGTTTATACTGTAATACAATAATTATTTTTGATATTTTGGTTTTTATCATTATATTTTGGTTCTCTCTTTTTTTTCTTTTTTTTTGGGTTCAAAACCACTGGAAGATTTTATTAATAACGAATAGTAAGGTTTACATCGGAGGCTAGAATATTAAAAAGCCAGTCAGTTCCAAGATGATCCCAAACATGATTACCCCCATGTTTAGAAACGAAACCAGCAACAGTATGGGCAACTCGGTTACAGGACTTAGGAGCAAACACAAAGGAGACCTGAGAAAAAGTAGCCACTAACTGCTGGATATCGAAGACAATTCCCTCCAGATCGGAATCTACAGTAGCCTGACCATTGAGCATTGAGATTCCTCTTTGGGTATCCGACTCCACCATTACGTGTGTGAGCTGGAAGTGGGCACATGCACTGAGAGCGTGGCGAATAGCTAGAAGTTCCATCAATAGAGCGGAGGAGCCACGAAGGTCTCCCTCACCACCAGCACATAACAGTAGACCATGGCTGTCCCTGATAACCCAGCCGACTCCTCCCCGCAAGAGTTGAGCAAACCATGCGACGTCGCAGTTCACCTTGAGAAGACTCGGCGGAGGTATACACCAGCTCTGGGCCATAGAGCTGCTGATGGCCTGATGAGGCTGGGGCTGAACCTCCTGCTTAGCAGCACGGTATTCAGTGACTTGGTTAAGCAAGAGGTGAGTAGCCTCAATGGGATCAGCTTTTGCACTTTCAAAGACAGCCAAGTTCCTGGTTTTCCAGATTCGCCACAGCCCAAAAACAAACCACTGGATTGCCTCCGCTGCGTGCTCAGATGAGCTGAGCGTCATCACCATATATCGCCAAGCAGAAATAAAATCCTCACCTGCTAACCTGGTCACGTCCAGTTGGAGAGGGCTTGCAAACTAGAATGCACGTGCAAAGTCACATTGGAAAAAAAATATGAGCTTGAGCTTCATCATGTAGACCACATAGGCCATGTTGCGTAGATACAGTTGCACCAAAATGGATTCAGCTGCATCCTCAACTTGTGATACTCGCAAGTGCACAAACCGTTGGTAGTTTAGCGTATGTAAGTGCGAGGTCGATTCCACAGGGATTGGTGATTGAATGATCCAATTCAGTTTTCCTACACAAAACAGAAACAAAAACAAAGAACATGAAAGAAGGAAGAAAATAAGAAAGTAACTCAAGCAAATAAGTTCCCAAGTTCAATTTAGATTAATGGATTGATTCTAGCTAAAGTATGATTAAGCCATGGTGTGTGGTCATAACCTTGTGTTCCTAATTCCCTAATTTGATCATTTGTTGTCTAACCTAAAATTAAGCATTAGGAACCCATTAAGC